GCGGATCCCGGCTGGCCGCGAAGCAGAGACGCCCCGAGGCGGCAGCAGAGAAGCGTCGCGGGCCGGGCCAGGGGAGCCCTACCGCTGGCTACCCTTGGCGCGCCCCGCGCCCTGGTGGCACACAACCCAGGAGGAGCGGCTCCGGGGGGGAGCAGACCCACGCAGAGAGTCCTCGGGGTGGCCGGGTCCCACTCGTCAGGGTTGGGGCACAAGGGGCCGCCTCACCCTCTCTGTGCGCCCTGGGGCAGCCCGGGAGACGGTTTTATAGGAGGGTGCATGCACTGCAGGGGCTATCCCAAAGATCAACTTTTACCCTTACAGAGAGGCAAGGTTCCCTCAGTCCCCAACTCCTCTCGGCCGAAAGTCCCTGTCCCCCTCCGTCTGCCTCGCCATGCCTCCGTTGCAGCCTCTGAGCTCAGCCTCCTCCACCCGGACCTGGACTCCCTCCTAGAGCTGGAGTCAGGTTGCTCCTCTCACCTTTCCGGGGGGTATTCTAGCCTCCTGGCCTTTGCACTCCCCAGGCCCCCCCACGAAATAGCCTGTCTGCGCTCCACTCACTTTTTCCATGTCAGCATCCAAGGCGTCACTCTCCATCCTGGAGCAAGTTTGCTGTCAAAGGACAGCAAACACAGCACAGTCCTGATCCTCCCACTGCCTGGAGTTGCTGTCCTACCTGCTGTCCCCCAGCAGAGTGACCTGCCCTCCCCAGGTCCCCCTGGGACCTCCCTCCCAGGCGTGTGTCTGTCCAAACATCTCTAGTGTGTGATCCCAGACTTCCGCCTCACTTGCCCAGAGGGTGCCATCTGTCACTTTGGATCTTCTCGTTCACCCTGCCCCAGGCCTGTGTGGCCAGAGTTTTGGGGTTGGCCTTGGTCAGGCAGGACCTGATGGCTCGGGCCCCTCCCTGCCAGCCAGGAGGGCCCAGTCTTATGAGGAAACACATGACTTGCACAATTCGCTCTAGCTGTGATTTCGTATCCTCGGTTCTGTCATTTTCGGGTCCTGGATGTGAAGGCACTGCAGCTTGATGGCCATCTTCACCTGGAAGCTTCCCTCTGTGTCACCTGAGGATGCCCGAACCAGGATCCAGCCCCCAGGCATGGTGAACATTTGTTGTCAACGTTAAAAATGGCGAAATTTCACATAAGAATTTAGATTTCTGACTTTTCTTGAGAAATTGGAAAGTGTAGCCACACTGGGCCCGCATTTCTGTGTATCAGCCATTAAATAGGGCGCACACCTTGCAGTTTGCTGTAGGTCCCTTTCCTCCACCCCCAGCAGGCATCCCCTTTTGTGACCTCTGATGACACAGCTCATTCCAGAGAAAGGTGGATGGTGATCAGTATATGAGAAGAGAGATGACTCAGAGCTAGGCATCCTGGAGGACTTCCCATAAGAAGTGGCATGGGTTGAATCCTGAAGGTTGAGAGAGTCAGGCAGCCGAAAGTTGGGTCCAGCTAGGTGCTGTCTTGGAACCCATGATACTCTTTCACTCATTCCTCCTGTGGTTGGCTGTGCTTCCATCCTCCTCAAAAGATGAAGGAGACCCAACCAGCAGCCTCACCTACCTCAAGGGTCGTGCTCTACCACTCACTTCCCTGCCAGGTTCATGGTTGTCACCATCACGGTCCACCACCACCATTGTTTCTTTATACAGTACTTAATCATGTACTTACACTTTTAAAGGATACTTTAAATCACTACCATAAACAGAAAAGCCAACATCTCACCATAAATCAAAGATAACTGCCAAAAAAAAAATGAAAACAACAAAAAAAAAGTTATCAAATTCTAGATACTGCTGCCTGTAAAAGGTGCTGAGGCTGAAGCTGGTTAGCAAGTGTCAGAAAAGTGGTGAGCAGACGAGCAGAAGCAGGGACCTGTCCTTTGAGGCAGCCAGAAGGATAAAAGCAGAATTGAAAAGGAATCACTCTCACTTTGCGAGTCAGTGATATTTTCTGACGGGTCCACATAACTAGATTATCTTGCACTCTTTGGAATATCAGCTCTAGGATAGTTTTTGGAAAGAAGGATATCTCTCTGACACTCCTGAGTAACCCGTAGCAGCTGTTCCTTCCCACACCACCCCTGGCCTCCTGGGGCTCCACCAGACAGTGACCCCACCATGAGTGAGAGACAGACCACTGCCCTGCACCAGCCCATCCTTTAGTCCCACAGTGACCTCCTGCGTGGCTCAGTGGATGAATCAGGCACACATGCATTGAAATATACTGCTGAATCTTCCATGTGGGAGGCCCTTGTGGACTCGTCCCAGCTTCCTGATCGCATATCCTCAGCTCAAAAAAAAAAAAAAAAATAGAGGCACCTCCTACTTCTTCAAACCTCCATGGTTCAGAGCTCTCCTCTTCCTCTTCTGGGTGGGGAAGATGCTGCCCCACCCACTGGTGCTTGCCTCTCCCTCTGGTCCCATCTCCTTCTCCTCCAGGTGAAATGTGGGACACAGAAATCCCATGGTTCTTTGCTCAAGCCTACTTATTCAGTCTAGATCCCAAAGACACAAACTAAGGACCATGGGGCCAACTCAAGTAGAACATTCGTTTAGCGCATATCACGTGTGTTCATTTTTAGTTGAACTTGGGTTCAACTTTGGGTCTGGTTGCACTCTCTTGCTTGACCCAGTCCTCACCACTCCCTATTGTCCTATACCTGCCTACTGCTCACAATCGTTCCAGCCTAGTCCCAGAAGGACTGGAGTTGCAATCCTGATCTAGAACAGTGGGGGAGGCATAAGGACAATTCAGGGTGAGCTTGGGCCCTCCAATCCCCTTAAAAGCTTCCCCAGGAGGTGAGGTGCAGAAAGAGATGGGGACATTTCCTTGTCATCTTGGATGTCACAAATCACTCCACATGCCTCGAAGCAGGGACATTAAGAAAGGAGAACGTCTTCCCCTTTGCCCGCCCCGGCTCTTGGCGGGTGTGGTGCCCTGCCTATTCTGAAGAGGAGGGGCAGGGCTCTCAGCCCCACGTCTGGCATCTAGGCCACATGTGCCAGCACAAACTTCATCAGAGCCATTCCTGTTCTCTGGTGACCACACAGAAACCAGAAAGTCTTCTGTCCTTTGCCGAGGTCACTGTCCTTGGCAGGTCCTACCCACGCAGGCTGCAAGCAGATGGAGGCAGTGAAGTTTCAGCATCCTCCCTCCAGACAAGCAAGCTCCTAGGGGTTGTGGGAGGGAACTAGACTCTTCCAGTCCCCTGGGGACCCATATGCAGAACATAACAAGCCATGAGGGCTTAGTGACCTTGTTGAGGGGACTCTGAAAACAGCCACTCTGTTCCCCTTCACTGTTGGCAAACAGTGGGTGAGGTGGCCCCATCAGATGCACTGGCAGAGCTCCGGCCAGGAGCGGCCTTGTTAAGCAATATGTCAGGAGAACACTGATTGAGCAGAACATGGCAACCCAGTGGCCTTTGGGGAGTGTGGTTCTTGCTGTTTCTTGAGCATCCCCCCACACACACCCTGACAGGGCGCTGTGCCTGGCAAAAGAGGAAACATGGGCAGTGTCTGGGCCACAATTCTTTTCATTGCCATCTTCCACAGAGCGGTGTCCTACCACCCCTGGGATCAGTTCTGCCTGGAAGTGACAGACAAAGGGCTTGAAGTTTGCAGGCTTGGGGATTCAGGCTCAGTCAACAGGTCTACATGGAGACATAAGATGGAGGCTCAGACTCAATCTAGGCAGTAGTGGCCTGGGGAGGGATAAAAGCTCAATGCTCGCGTATGACTGTCCACTTGCATGTGTGCTCAACCCAGCAGAGAGGCAGCAAGGCCCACGAATCTCCAAGGGGGTGTCTGGGTGTAGCAGGTAGTGCTGTCCTGGGCCCACTTGGCTCAGGGTCCAGATCCCTGTCCACCCATGTCTGACCTCTCACAGAAGTCAGGAGAGCCATTTGGTTCTCCCATCTGAGAAAGGCCTCTGAGTCCCTTAAGACACCCCTGGTTGCAAGTAACAGAGCCAGCTTAAACACAAGGAAATGCATGATCTCCCGTACTAAGAGGCCTGCAGGGACGGCAGCTCCAGAGCTCAGCCACGGCACCGAGGCCCGGCCCCCTGCATGTCGTCTTTACCCCTGACTAGGTAGAAGGATGGCCAAAACACATGCAGGTGGCCTGCCTTCTCCCGCAGGATGGGCTGACTCCCCCCTGGTGTGTGGGCCAAGGTGGGTCACGTGGCTGTTGCTGAACTAGCTGCCAACAAGGGGCAGAGGTGTTACCGGGACAAGCCTGGATTAACTACCTGGGGCAGGATGGCTGGGAGGGGTCAGCCCCAAGGCCCCCAGCACCTCACTTTCCTTTACTTCCAGTGAGAGCATGGCACAGTCCCAGGCTCTCCCTGCCGGTGGAGAGAAGACACTCCTCGCTGACTTCATGTCCATATCCCACTCCCAGATGACATCATCTATAGAGCATGGAGAATTAGTTTCTTTACTTATGAATCCTGGACATAACTTGTGAAGGCCACAATCCGATTACATTGTGGGGGTTTGTATTCAAATCCTTGGTAAGCCTAACGGAGCTGTTCCTCACTTACAATCCAGGGACCATCAACTGGCCTGGCCTGGGCCTTGCTAGACCCCCAGGACCCCTGGCCTCCAGGGCTTCATTCCCTTTAGGTCGCCCTCCCTTTGTGTCAAGTTCCTTCCATCCAGTCTGGCCTGACCCTGCCTGGTTCACAGCACCTAGGATGTGGGCCTTAGAAGGACCAAAGCTTCTGTCTGGGGCTGGCATGGACACTCACCATGGAATCCCCAGGCCAAGATCTGGTGGGAAGAAAACTCTGGATGCAGGGTTGAGGGACTTTGGCCATCACTGCAGCCTCTGGGGACTCCCTGAGGACCCCGCTGCTCCTGCAGGGGGTGCCAAGAGGCCTCTCCCTTGCCCCAGCCCTCATGGCTGGTAGGAGGGTGCTTCTTGGCTGCCTCCTTCCCGGCAGCTCCAGATGGTCCCTCGTCCTCTGCAGAAATGCTGAGACCCGACACAAAGTCCCCAAGACATTTAAAGTGGAGCTCATGGAGGAACGTGTCACCTCTGATCCTTGCAAAACACTGTCCCCTTCTTCTGATCATTCCACACGCAAAAAATATACACCTGTATCTTTTGTGCGATGTTTGAAAGTTTTTGTTTTTGTTTTTGGTGAAATAAATCATCCCCGTGTCCAGTTGTCTTGCAGGCTCTCTATAGATCTGGTTCCAGGCAGTCCCTCAGGAGGAGAAGACTTCTCTTCACACTGTCCCTGAGGGCTCTGGCTGCTCCTCAGAGCCAGTCCTGATGGATGCTTTCCCGTCTCCACACACATGGCCCCTCCTGGGCAATCTCACTCTTTCCCGTGGGTTCAAGAGTCTGTGCACTGAGGACCCAGCCAGGTCTGTTCCACCCTGTAAATGCAGTAACCGCTGGGCATCCCCATCAAGGTGTCTCTGAGCCCTAGCTCCTCTTGGACCCGGCTCCACCACACCTCCAGCCCTGCTCCCATCCTGTCCTCATGGGCTCACATCTGGCATCCCCACTCCCCAGAGGTCCCCCAGGGCATCTGGGGCCCCTCCCTTTCCTTACCTCCATATCAAAGGGTCACCAGCTCCATCCACCC